CCATACTGAGGCCTTGGGAGGCCCAATAAATTATGGTGACTAATGAATCCACCACCCGGTGGTTCACTGGTGGGCAAAATAAGGGTGCCTGCACCAATTAACGCAGGTGGATTTTTTTTCTGTGATTCACAACTAGAGCTTTCCGATCGCAAATGCGTGATCGAAAAGCCAGTGGTATTTGAAAACCGCAATCTGTCGAGGGTCGTTCTTCCAACCGTTGAAACAAAGGTCCATCGAATGCGGTTCACACATCCGGAGTGTCCAACACGCCCCATCAAACAATCGAGCTAGTGATAATTGGCACTTGGATGTCCTGGAACCAGTTAGCACACCCCTTCTTCAGAGGTTAGTGCCGCATGAGAGAAATGAAGGATGTAATCAGGTTGATATGCTTGCAACCGAGTCATAACCTTAGCCCGTAGTGCTGATGTGCGCAAGATGTGACGCCTGCATTGAGCTACCAATTATGCGTTGTGCTATATCGCGTATAAGGAAAATGAAAAACGGTTTGAACGGCTGCCCGGTGGCCCAGTGAGTATTATCCTTGCGTTTTGTCTGTGAGGTCTAGGTTTCGATTTCAAACAAGAGTCAGTTAACCGTGGTTCATCGACCCAATGGCAGACGGCTCGGCTGTCACCCGGAACGCTGTCAAGCCTGTTTTATTGAGGTTTTATGTGGTTGGTCATCTCAATTATCACGATCATGGTGACCGGGTTTCTGAGCACATTAGGAATCACTTGCAAACCGACCGCGATTTCATCATTGTAATTAACATTTGCCAATTGAATTCCAACACACTGACTATACACATCGAGTTTTACATTCCGCTTCTTCAATCAATCCTTGTTCGACCGAAAACCACAATCCACCCTCATCACACACCTCCAACTCCGAAACGATATGCTTTGCTCCTCTTCTCTACCCCAAAAAATTGTCTGCGTGTTTGTTCACATATCAGTCGTCACCTACTGAATATGGAATCATGAAGTTTCTAATCGTGAATTTCGGTTAAAGAGGCTGTAGCTCCGCCTTCGTTATTTCAACCAGTACTTTTGTATTGCTTACCACTCACCCAACAGTGATGAATCCTTCATCTTGGACTTCATATTTCCTAACAATATGCACTTGTTTACTACGGCCCTAGCTGACTCTGACGACTTTCATATTTTGACCGTCAAGCCATGCATTACGCAGTGATCAATAACCTGCGCCAGCTAGATAACCTGCTCATTTGTACCCGGGATCGAATTGGAAAACGTGATGGACTGGTGGGCGAACCTAAATACGACTTCGAATCGTCACCATACTAGTGACCTGCTTGTTCTTGTATTCCAATCCTGATTTCTTGCATCCGATAACCCGGACGAACTCACACTCACGATCTAAAAAGTATTTGGCCAAGTTTGGCAAGAAGGTTTATTCACGGAAGAGCCCCTCTTCCGGTTCCCTTAGGCTGACATGTAGCGGATGTAAATTCTAATCAGGAAGCGACCCCGAGTGGATGGGGTACTATCCAAACCGTGACCTACGAGTGCTGGCATTGAGTGTTTGCGTCTAAACTCTTTATTCTACACATAGTGGATTTACCATCCAAAGTTTTCAACCACAATTCGCGCCATGCCAGCCTCAACAACGACCATGACCATTGTGCCGCTGTGTCACTGGACACCGATCTCGAATATCCCCAGGGGCTATCCCAGCTCGTTTCGTACCATATAAAGGTCAAACTGGACCTGCACTGCAGTCACGTGTGGACTGAGACTCTATTTTCTGTCCCTTCCCTTCCTAGTACTACACAAAGGCCATTTGACCGATCGACGATCCTTCCGTGATCATCAAACTGCAGTCATTAACCCATCAACAAGCAGTTAGCTCGGTGTTTCAATACTATCGTTACCAGTTTAATTATTTAATTTAATTTTAATTGTTCAGAACTTGGTTCAAAGTTTCACTTTTGTGACTTTTATCCTGCCTATCTCGTACACAGATAGTTGGTCGTGTCCATCAGATTTCTGTTACCAAGTATCTTACTTCTCATATTCGATCATTCTTTTTACCCCGAAACTTCAAACTATGGAACCCTCTCCCATTCTCGGTCTACTCCCAATTTGCTTACAACTTTTGACTACGTAAATGCAGCATCAAGAAAAACTGGCGCATAGATGAATTGTCTGTTACACACCCTTTACACTGACTTTTGATTATGGGGTATTACGGAGTTGCCTCGTATCAGATTGTAATATTACCCTCTAAATCAAACAAGATCATTGGAATCTACACTGTCGCTATAAGACCATTCTCAGTGGAGCAGCAGTAATATTCAGCAGAATGATACAATCCAAAACTGATGAGGAGTAACAAGTGATTGTGTGCTCATAGAATAGTTACTGAGCAGCATCATAACAACAATGCGAAGTATAGAGAGAATAAAGTTGAACGGTAGAAACACTGGTGCAAATCGAGACACGAAGCGAATGAACCGGTAGCCGAACCGGAGTAGCCGAATGGGAAAAATGGGGAGAAGAAAAATATGAACCGAACAGAATAATGTATGATCGGCGTTCGGCCATTTGAGGAAAAAACACTGAAACACCGTGATCCCAGGAGCTTGAAAAAAAAAAAACTATACAACCTTTATTCGTGATGAGTTGTTTTAGTGCGTTATTTGAACCAGAGAGTATTCCAAGGGTCCAAATACGCCTCCCATGTACTGATTTCAGAAAAATTAAAAACACATTGACTAGAGACGGCGGGGGAGTAAGCGTCGCCAGTGGAATCGGAAGAGCGAGTCGACATGGTGCGGATGCACATTTTATAATCCGTACGTGCGATCCGACAACCTGCCCAGTCACCCATAGCAAGCATTCAGGCGTGACGCAGAAGGCAAATGCTAATCACCAATCCAAACATACACATGACAAAATTCTGCAGAAAACTCATCAAACATGCATGATGATGATAACGGGGACGATGAACAAACGGGAGCATCACTTGATTAGAATTTCGAATCTTGACAAATACACTGCGGAAAAGATGTAACCCTTACACATGAATCCGTGAGAGAATAAGAACACACGCGAGAAGCATGGGATTGCCAGATTGTCTGCATACAGCCACTTAGCCTCAGGAGGATCAATGCGGCTTGGTGAGGCACACGGTTTGACCAATTTAATCCACAATCTTGAGGAACAAACTAATAACAGCCAATAGGTAAACGGTATGCTTCCATTTGGAATGTATTTATCCGAACGCTGGATAGGGATGAACGGTCAAAGTTTGCAGTGAACCACAACGAACATGGTAACCCACATGTAAAGCTGAGCATCAATGATCAGTTGATTGTATACATGTTTTTTTGGTTTAGATCATGTGGATTCAGACAAATCGGAGTCTGTGTGCATTGATCTCTCCGGTCTCAGTACAGAGGAAGATGTGGGAAGCGAGAGGGGAATTATTATAAAAAAACTATTAAGGAGTGAACCTCACACAATGAGATTAATACACAGACTGCAGTACGGGTGGTGAATTAGCACCCGGCAAAACCCAGAACATCTATAATCAAACGAGACAATCACCGATCGTGAGCCCGTGAGGAACAACGGGAATGAAAGCGAGACCAGTTCACCGTACTCGTGCTCAGGGGACAGAAGAATAACAAATAGAAGAATGTGTCACGTATCCGTCTGACAAACCGATGCCCTACAGTAAGTAGCCTGGTAGCAGCAATACAGGCGTAACTGGCAAAACAGATAAGCTAGTGACGATAGAAAAAGTGTGGAACACGCGAGCTGGGAGACTGGAACTGGTTTAGCTT